AGAGGCAGAATTCGCGGGAAGACTAGGAACACCCCCTCCCTGAACTACAGGTCCTGGCTCCTTCTGGGGAAATACCCTTATTCCAATCCTGTGATTTCCCAAATTTCATGCACCCCCAGGGGCCAAGGAAACTTTGGAAGCCATTCTCTTTTCAGGCTCTTCTTCCCCTTTCTGACGGCAGCAACGCCTGTCCAGGGCTTGCCTCTGGGGGCCCTCAGCCAGGGAGCTGCAGCTTTGCGCCTCTCTTTTCAAAGAGAAAGCCTGCGCTCACCTGGAGCGCAAGACCCCCGGAGGCCCTCGCCAGTGTGTGGCTGGTCTTTGCAGATGATAGATGGCCACTGGCACCCCCGTGTTTTCTGTTGAGCTGCGCTGCAGCTCTAAGTGTGGCTGTCGGGCACCTGGCTGTGCTCTGCCTTTGGGTAGGGGGAGTGGTGAGGTATTGAGCCACAGCCTGCCTGTGGTGGTTGCCCGTGTGCTTGGCCTGTGGGTTTGGGATCTCTTGGGGGAGGCTTGGCTGAATGTTCGCTGTCTCCCCAGGTCTTCCTTTAGGCCCGCCAGGACCTGAAGTCCCCGCACCAGACCAGCCTTCTGAACCTGAGAGTGGCCCCAGCCTCGAACAAGACACCTTCTGCCGGGGCAAAGCTGACGGGCTCTACCCCAACCCTGGGGACCAGTCCAGCTACTATAGCTGTGCAGGGGGGCGGCTATTCCAGCAAAGCTGCCCAGCGAGCCTGGTGTTCAGCTCCTCCTGCAAATGCTGCACTTGGAGTTGAGTGCCCAGGGTCCCTGCAGCCGCAGCCACCGGGCCAGGCGCTAGGGTCACTCCACAGTCTGCCTCTGCAGCTCTCCCTGGGGGCTACAATCCTAGAGACCTCCCTGTGGCTTTTCTGTATCCAAGCTTTCTGCTCTCAGCCTTGAGTTCCTTTTCCTATGATCCTTCTGGACCTGTTACTTGCAAAATAAATCTATGGTTTGCTCCCCACGGTCCCCGGGTGTGGTGACTTACAGAACCTCTCTAAGCACACTGTCAGTTCAAAACTGGGAAGGTGGGGAAGCCAAGAGGCAAGGGTGGCCTAAGGCATGCATAGGTCTGAGCCAGGCAGGAAGGCAGGCCCTTCAGGGTGCCCACATTCCAGTGGGCAGCTCTCAAGGCACTGGTGACTTCGCTGGAGAGCTTTTCCTGCTGGCCTCCACTTGGGTGTTATTCCCAAGATTCACACTAGATGGCAGCAGAAAAGAGCCTTTCCTTGCCTTAGGGCTCTGCAATGGCCACCCAGCATTAAAATAAGAATCCAAACCCCAGGTAGGTATTCAGGGCTCACTTTGAGATAAATCCTGTTTTAGGCCTTCTATCACCTACTGCTCCTATATGCCAGACAAAAGAGGGACAATTATTATCTTCATTTTACAGGTATTTAAACAGAAGGCTAACTAACCCAGTTCCGAGTCCAGAACTGAGTCCTAAATGGGCCACGTTGCACACACAGTATCCCGGATAACCGAGCAATGCAAATGGTCTCTGCAGCTTTGGGTTGAAGCCTGGTCGTTCCATTGGAAGAAAATCTGCACGTAACCTAATGGTCCATCTTGCCATGCACTCACCCAAGCTGGGTTTTGGTGTGGGACTCAGGCAGGCAGCAGGAGATGGGGACACGTAGGAGAGAGGAGGTGACCTGGCCCTTCACCCTAGTACAGCCGGTACCAGATCCCTATAAAAATGACCTCCCCGCTTCTACTCCCCGCCTGTGCTCGGGCCTTTACAAATCTGTTCTTCTTCGGCCCCGAGCACAGGTCTGCTCACCACACATGCCCTTCCTTTGAGGTCTCAACTCGAAGGGGACGCGCCAGGGCTGACAAGAGCCTCCTAACTGCTCAGAATGGTGTCCAGGGTGGCGGTTTCCTTTTGGGGGGTGCAGAGCTGGCTTCTGGCTCTGTCACCTGCTAGCGGTGTGACTTGAGGCCAGGAAACAGAACCTCATCACCTCATCTGTTGGGTGGAATTAAGCCTCGTCGTCATGATCAGCACTCACTCTTCCCTCCCTCTTCCCATCTCTGTCCTTTCTTTACCTTCTGTGGGCTGGGTAAGTCAAGAATCTAGCAGAGAGTCTCCTTGTAGCAGAATTTATGGGTCCCCAAACAGCCCAAGTCCCCCTACATCGTCAATGTGACATTGGTGCTACCTTCATGTTGAGGACAGTTTTAAGCAGGGCTTCTCTCTGATCTTCTCCAAACCCATGGTCCCTGTGTCAGCTCAGGCCAGTGCCACTTGTCACCCTGCCTCCTGCCCCTCCTTTGTCCAGGCCAACCTCCATCTAGCCCCCAGCTCAACGTTTCTAAATTTTGGATCAAATCCTAACACTTCCCTTACTTAAGTAAGAGATGCCAACAGCTTCCGGTGGACAGAGTCAAGTCTCCATCATCAGCATAGAGTCAAAACCCTCCATTAGGCCCCAGCCTCATCCCTTGGTCTCATTTCCTTTCATCCCACCCCAGTTTGGTGGCCAGGTCCCCAGACCACCTTGCTCAGCCATCCTGGCTTCTCATGAGAAACCTCCCATAGTCTGTCATCACCCCTGTGAGGTTTGAGCCCCAGCCCCAAAGCAAATACTACTTTTAAACTAAACTTTCTCCCTTGACCTATCGGACTGCCCCACCAGCCCCACACAATCCACTTATAGACTAGGGGACACACCCCTGTACAGAGCCGGCCTTTCGAGTCAGATGCTAATGCTGCTTGAGTTGTTGGGGGGATCAGCTTTGAGTAATAGCGTTTGAAAAGGATTTTTGTGTCACTCATGTCTTGGTGGCTTAACCCATGAATGTCTGGCCACTCTCCCTAACAGCAATGACCACTCTCAGCCCCATGAAGGACAGGTCCCTCTGACCTTCTCTCTGAGGACGTTCATAGCGTTCACCACCATGTCTAATACACCTGCCGGAACCCAGGCAAACAGTTAAGCCCCATCCCTTCTCCCAACTGGGACCAAGCTCTCCTGGGGGGCCGGCAGGCCCCCACCGCCACAGGTACCCACTTCCAAATGTACCACACCCTACGTGAGCAGTGAAACTCTATTGTTTTTATCGTGGTTTAATTTTGAAATCTACCATATAGACCAAAGAGTGTTTCAACTATGTATGCTCAGTATCTCCCATGAGTCTGTCACCCAGGCAAGGAAACAGAACATTGCCAGTACCTTCAAAACTACTGATGCGCTTCTCCCTAATCCTACACCCTTCTATCTCGATTTTGATTATTCATTCCCTCGTCTTCTTATAGCTTTATCAACTGTGCGTATATTCCTAGACTAGAAGTTGTTTATTCTAGACTATTTTGAACCTTATATAAATAGAAGCGTGCTGTGTGGTGCTTTCTCTGGCTCACTTCTTATCTTCACTTAGCCAGAGCTCACCCTATTCACTGCTGCATAATTTTCTACCACATGCCATGCCAAAATCTCTACTTTCTGCTATCAGGACACATGGGTGTTGTTTCCAGTTTGGGGCTAACGTGGACCACATTGCTACAAACACTTTTGAGCCTGTCTATTGGTACCCATGTGTACGATTTGGGACACATGCGAGTTCAACTTTCCTAGGTGCGGGCAGAGTTTTCCCAAAGTGGACATACAGCCACTCCCTACCATTGCAGTGTTCCTAGTGAACCCCATCATCACCATTCCTACGCCCTACTTTACGCTGATCTGTGAGGTGTAAAAACGGCATCTCACTCGAGTTTAAACTCGCATTGCCTTAATTACTTACATTTCAGCATCTTCTTACGTCTACAAGCTATTTGTGTTTGTTCTTTTGTGAATAATAACCTGTTGTGTCGCTTGCCCATGTTTCTATTGTGTTGTCTCTTTCTTATTGAAATGTAGCAGTTCTTTACCTATTCTGAACACGGATCTTTGATGTAGGTTTGACCATATCTTTTCCCAGTTTGAGGTGTGGCTTTTCATTTTTGGGGTATTGTTTAAGGTAGTTACCTTTGCCAGTCCTATCCCTTATGGTTTGTGCTTCCTGCATTTTGTTTAAGAAGTCTTTTTCTAGGGGCGTCTGGCTGGCTCAGACAGAAAAGCATGTGACTCTTGATCATAGGGTTGTGAGTTCAAGCCCCACGCTGGTTGCAGAGATTACTTAAATTTAAAAAAACAACAACAACAAAACAGGGCACCTGGGTGGCTTAGTCGTCGGTTAAGTGTCTGAATCTGAATCTTGATTTCAGCTCAGGTCATGATCCTCTGATTCGTGGGATCAAATCCCACATCAGGCTCTACACTGACAGCACAGAGCCTGCTTGGGATTCTCTCTCTCCGCCTGTCCCTGCCTCCCTTGTGCCCCCCCCCCCCAAATAAATAAGTAAACTTAAAAAAAAAGAAAGAAAGAAATCTCACGATTCATCGGTTCCAGCCCCACCTCAGGCTCTATGCTGACAGTGCAGAGCCTGCTTAGGATTCTCTCTCTGCCCCTCCTCCACTTGTACTGTCTCTGTCTCTCTCAAAATAAATAAACTTTAAAAAATAAATTAAATTAGATTTTCTGGCTAATTGTTGCTAACCTATAATAACATCACTGACATTTGGAAACTAATGCTATGTCCAGGAAACTTTTCAAACCCTCTTACTAACTTTAATGATCATTCTGCAGAGTGTTCTATGTAGACAATTGTATTATCTACACGAATAAGTTTTGTTTCTTCCATTCCAAGCCTTATGCCTTTGTTTATTTTTCTAGTTGACTGTGCTAGCTGAGGCCTCCAATTCAGTGGTGAATAAAAGCAGTGATAATGGGCATCTTACCTTGTTCCTGGCCTGAAAGGGGATGTTTGCAACATCTCACCGTTAAGTATGCGATTTATCGTAAGTTTTTCACAAACATCTTCTATGAGACTAAGGAAGTTTGCTTCTACTCTTGGTTTCCTGAGAGTTTCCATAAGAAGGGCTGTGAATTTTTTCAGGAAGCTTTTATTTTCAATAGATTTTTGCTTTTATTCTGTTCATAAAGCAAATTACATTCATCAGTTTTCCCCCTGTTACATTCATCTTGCATTCCTAGGAGTAATCCAACATGGCCCTGATGGGTTATCTCTCCCGTGCATCGCCGGATCTGGCCAATACTGTGTTTCACATTTTTGTGTTTATATATTAATAACAAGATGGGCCTGCGTGTTTTCTTTCTCACACGCTAGGATGCCCTTGCCATCACCGCTACCGGCCAGGCTAATAATAAACCGACTTAGGGTACCAATGTTTTGCTGGCCTCATTAACGAGTTAGGGAGCTTCCCTCTTTCCACTCTCCAGATGAGTTGTGTCCCAGGACTTCTCTGTTCCTTGAATGGTAGCTGTCACCAGGAAAGCCATCTCAGCTCCATGCTTTCTTGAGGCTCATTTGTAAGTGCTGATTCGATGTCCTATAGTGGTCGCAGAACCGTCGCATTTCTGATTTTGTCTTGAGCAGGCCGAGAGCTGAACTCACTAAGGGTCAAGAAGCCTGCAGTCCCCTGGTTAAAAAGCCCTAATCTGAGATAAAGTCAGGGAGGTTGCTGGTTGTCTCTCCCTTCCATCTGTCCCTCCCAAGTGGCCCTTGACAGGGAGCAGCTAGAGGCCGCCCGGGCATCCCCTTGCCAGGTCACGCACCTGCTCCGAGGCCAGGCCCTGGTCCAGTGCGGAATTACCACCGTGGAGCACTCCTTATGCTCATCCCACTGTCTGCTGTTGTGTTCAGAGCTTGGTGCAAAGAGAAAATAGCCAGATTCTTCTTCATTAATTCAGTGATTTGGGCAAAAAAAAAAAAAAAAAAAAAAAAAAAAAATGTGTTTAAAAACTTGTCGCAGGGAGAGAAAGATGGCTTCCAAAGGCCCCCTGTTGAATTCCTTTTGGGCGTTGCCATTCTATTTAGCATGGGAGTGGGGAGAAGGGAACAGACATTCCTGCCAGGCCCCTGCCCCTCGGCCCCTACCATATGGCAGTGATAAACTGATGAGACCAGGCAACCAGGAGGCCAGGCTTAGCTAAGGACACCCTCCCAGTCTTCCCACCCCCTTGGGCCCTTCATTCCAAGAAGGGACACTGAAGGGGCCACCTGAGAATGGGAGGCATCAAAGGAAAATGGCAGGAGGACCCAGTGCCTATAACTTCTGCCATCACTACAACTTGCCCTTGATCTTCTGGAGCAGAGCCTCTAAGGCACCAAGGAGCCAGACCCCTCCAAATCAGACCAGCCCCACGGGCTGGGGGGGTCTTGTTTTCCCTAAGCGCCTTCCTGGCATCTAATTTGAGATCCTTGATCGCTTCTCGGCCTTTTGGGCAAGATCAAGTGTAATTTGAGATCCTTGAGCTGTAGTAATAGTTCATGTGACCTTATTTCGGCCTCTGTGAGGATGAAAATCTCTACCTTATTCATTTTTAAAGTTAGCTCTCTGTTTGTCCCACGTGGCTTCTCTGTGTCCATGGATAAGTCTTGGACCGCCTTCCAGTGCACAACCCAGGGCTCCCCTCAGCCCTGCCCCACTGAAAGGCAGACCTTGAGCATAAGGGGCTCAGACTCTGGAACATGAGCCAGGGCAGGACTTGAAGCTAGACATCTGGGATCCCTAAAGTCAGAGTACAGAGAGACTGTCCCTCTACCATATTCTTACCGCCATCACCCAGACTCAAAGATGACTTGGTATGGAGGAAAGTACACTAGGCCTTTATCTCTGCCTCTCTGTGTGAGAGAGGACTTGGGCAAGTCACTTAGCTTGGGTCCTCAGTGTCCCACCAGTGGGCAGTTGGACTAGATGACCTACCAGCCACCACCAGCTACTGGATTGTCCCTTCCCAGAAAGTAGAAAAGCAAGGGAGAGCTAGAGCCTCCATTTGGCTTACATATTGGCCCCTCACCTTATTCTCCCAACCACAAGGCCCCTTTCAGTACAAGCCTTGAACAGCATGTGGGGGTCTCTGTGGCTCCCTCTTCCACCTGACGCGCACACACACACACACACACACACACACTCACGCCCACGAAACCTATCCTTTCCTGACCTTTGTTTACAGGCAGCTGCAAGAATGGGAAAAGGACATCTCACATTACCCTTTATGCCAGAGCCTGTCTTTACACATCTCCCCTTCAGACTCCAGCCAGGCTGCCCTTGCCTTCCCGTCTGCCCTGTTCCACATCTGCAGGGAAGCCACAGATCTGAAGCCAGCCAGCGGCTGAACATGATGTCCAGGCTATGTTCCAGAGCATCCCTGGAGTGACTCAGGGGTTACTGGCCTGTGGAGGGCGTCCAGATCTCCACTCTTCAGCCAGTGGAGAGACCTTCTCCTGGTGCACCAGTCCCCGAATGCCTTGAGACAATCTCTTTCTAATCCTTTAATCCAGTGGTAGGAGCCATTTTCTATTAAGAGACAGTGATCTCAGTGGAAAAAAATAATCATCCCAGGGCCATACGATCATAGAAAATTACTTAATTTAGGTGCGGAGGCTGCTGCTAGTTTTCCATTAACAGGGACTTAAGAGCATTCAACACACCTGACTTTTTTTTTTTAATTTACATCCAAGTTAGTTAGCATATAGTGTAACAATGATTTCAGGAGTAGATTCCTTAATGCCCCTTACCCATTTAGCCCATCCCCCCTCCCACAACCCCTCCAGTAACCCTGTTTGTTCTCCATATTTAAGAGTCTCTTGTGCTTTGTCCCCCTCCCTGGTTTTATATCATTTTTGCTTCCCTTCCCTTATGTTCATCTGTTTGGTATCTTAAAGTTCTCTTATGAGTGAAGTCATATGATAGTTGTCTTTCTCTGACTGACTAATCTCGCTTGGCATAATACCCTCTAGTTCCAGCCACGTAGCTGCAAATGGCAAGATTTCATTCTTTTTTGATTGCCGAGTAATACTCCATTGTATATATATACCACATCTTCTTTATCCGTTCATCCATCGATGGACTTTTGGGCTCTTTCCATACTTTGGCTATTGTGGATAGTGTTGCTATAAACATCGGGGTGCATGTGTCCCTTCAAAACAGCACAACTGTATCCCGTGGATAAATACCTAGCAGTGCAATTTCTGGGCCATAAGGTAGTTCTATTTTTAATCTTTTGAGGAACTTCCATACCAACACACCTGATTTCTAAAGGAAGACAAAACCATACTCAACAATCGGCATTTAAAAATACATCTTGATTCTAAATTTGCGGCAGTCGAGCTGATGGGATTTGAAATAATGTGAAGGAAAGTTGAGAGTAAGAAACTGTGGTGAGAATAAAAAGAAATGTAATCAGGTAAGAAAAAGATGGAAGGAGAGAGGTAGGGTGGTGGAGAGGAAAAGAAGGAGGACAGAGCCAGGAAGCCTCCGTGGGACAAGGGCTAACTTGTCCCTGCTTAGCTCTGGGCTCCCGGTCGTCCCTCATCCTGTAATGCCTGGTGTTTAGGTTACTACCTGGATTTCAGGTTACCATTTGTTGTCAACAGCATGGGTGCTATTTCCATTATACCATCTGCTTCACAAAAATTCCACAAATTAGATATTTTACAAAGGAAGAAACTAAGACTCAGAAAAGTTGCCCAAGTTCACACATCAGTAATAATTAGAGTGAGGACCAAATCCATACCTTGGCCAGAAGCCCACGCTGTATGTATGCACTCTGCCAGCACATATGACTGTGTCACCACCATCTCCCTACTGAACTGTGGGTCACTTGTGTCCATCACCTCCTGTTCCCCAGGATCCGGCCACTCTTGCTTTCCTTCTGTTCCTGGTACCGATTAAACTCATCCCATCTCGGTCCCCACCTTCCCCGACCTCAAAGCTCTGTCCCATCTGTTCCCCTCTCTGGGACAGCTCATGCCCACACCTCCCCCTGCCACCTCAACCCCACTTCAGGTCTCTCCTTAGCGTCGCTTCTTCAGAGACCCCCTCCCCAACCACTTGACAGTCACACAAGCACATCACTCTGACTTATTTTTATCAGTGACGCTTACCACTACGTGATGTTTTCTTTGTTTATGATCTATGTCCCTGGGCTAGGACAGAATCTCTGCGTGAGCAAGAATTGATGCAGACTTAGGACTAGATCTCCAGTATCTAACATTACTTCTGGCATAAATGCTTAATAAGTATTTGTTGAATGGATGGATGGGTGAATGGATGGACAAATTACTCTCTATCCCTTCATAGATTCTCTTAGCAGAGGTGCGTTTTCCCAGGGAGCCAATTACATCAAGCCCTAGACTGTATTTCCCACATCAGCACACATCCCCTCTGCAACTTTAACCAAACCTCATCCACTCCACAAGCATGCCCAAGCTCTTTGCCGAAGCTGTGGATGGAGATAAATGAGACTTGACCCCAGACACGAGGCTTGATCTTCGGTAGTTTACAGAGTCCATGAGGGGAGATAAAGCATGCCCACAAAGCATTATAATTAAAGATTAAATGAGCCATAAGCAATGAAATAGGAACACACTAAACATGTTCAAAGGAAGAAGAAATCCTCTCTGAACGACGGAGCAGTGAGAGCTTTAACAAATAGAGGCACCAACACAGAGACTGAGCCTGAAGACAAGTTCAGAGCCTCCTCAGTCTCCAAGGCAGAGTATTAACCAGGCAAGTGTTGAGAGCCAGGATCCCCAGGGCTTGTCCAGACTGGACCGGGTACGGGGCACAGGAAGGAGGCAGCGCGAGGTGAGGATGGAGGGAGAGGTTGGAGCCAGGCTATGCGGGTTTGTGGACTCAACATAACCACAGGAGAGTGAGCCACGCGGGCACCGTGAGCCAGGCAGCCCAGTGCCCAAGAGGCGCCCAGTCCGTGGCATTCAGCAGCTGCCAGGAGTGGGGGTTTGTTGGTGGAGGGCTCTGGCCTGCAGTGACAGGGGGCGGGGGGTGGTTACTGACCTTGTTTCTCTGTGAAAAGCTCAGTGAGACAGATTTCTCTTTTCCTCAAGCAGTGTGAAATACAAGCTGGTCAACATGCATGATTTCTCAACAGCAGGATTCATTTCCTGCTGCTTCATTGCAGCAGTTTTGGGGACGATATCCCGCTATAATGGGGGGCAAGGCTCCAGGCTACAGCCATTCTGCTGTCCAGCTAATCCTGTTTCAGAACACAGTTCTCTTCCTAAGGGAGCGAGCCGGTCAGGACAGAGGAGGGGACCTAGAGGGCTGGAGGTGGGGTGGAAATGAGGAAGGAGCAGGGCTCCCTAGCGACACTCATGGCCTGTGGGGGCTCTGGAAGGAAGAGGCCGGTGGGTCCAGGGGATTTAGGGAGTCTCAAGGAAGGACGCCAGACCCCAAAGAATTCTCAGCCCCTGCATCCTTTCTCTCCACCTTCCTGAGGTCCACGGCCCCTTCCATAGACTCAGCCATATTTGTTTCTGGCACCTGAGACTACAGAGGGATCTTCCAGTGCCTTCTTCTGGGCCCATCTCTATAAATACTATACCACATTGTAATGTAAATATTGGCTCTTAAGGCTGCTCCTGCATAAACTGTGAGCCCCTTGAGGGCAAGGGCCTTGTCCTAATGCCTTGGCGTCCCCAGCCTCTGTTGCACATGCCCCAGGCCACCCTCTGTGGGTTTGCTAACTGGGTGAATGGGGTGGTTGCCCCCTACATCTTCTGGGTCTATTCCACCTCTGTGGGATCTCCACCCATCTGAATGCCTCAGGGCTTGCCCAGGGCTTTCTACCCTTCTCTCCTTAGATCATCTCTTCCATTTCCAGGGCTTTAAATAGCATGGTTATGCTAATGGTTCCCACACTTGCGTATCTCCAGCCCAGACCTCCCCTCTGAGCTCCAGATGCATACATCCACCGGCCTACTTGCTCTCTCCACTCCGATGAGGTGTAAACAGCTCATCTTTGCCCGAAATAGAGTCCCTTATTATAAAACCTGTCTGCACCTCAAGGGTGCCTCACTTTAGAAAATTACCCAGCGCCTCTCCACGTGGCTGAGGTAGAACCCCAAGGTGATTCCTGCTTCTTCCTTTTCCCTCAGCTCTTACATTCACCTCCTCAGTAAGGTTGATTTTCCCCTCCAATAAATGTCTAGAGTCGGCCCTCTTCTCCC